ATATATGGAAAAGTTTGGAAATCGTGATCAAATCATGTTTGACCGACAATCAAGTATATATATATTTAATGTTTAATCTCAACTCCGCCTTTCCAAGGTGTGTTTATTCGACTATGCCTCGCCGTTATAATCTCTGCAGATCATATTCAACGAAAGTCTATTACAGTGTTTTCTCGTTCTCACTTCGACATCTCATCAATATGTTATGCCAGCACTGACTAGCAGCGTGTTTTACAGGCGCCTTGATAGTTAATACCTCTAACGAATCACGCGCATGCATTCATTGATTCCCAGATCCATCTCCCAACCGGGGCGTACGTAGAGGTTTACACATATCAATACTCGTCCTACATCAATATATGTTTCTCCCCTGCTGCGGACGACTACGGTTGGATTGGCGGTGGTCTCTGTGGAAGTTATGACAATGATGACGGTAATGACTTTCTGCATGGACCTTTCGGAGCTTCGTCAACTATCTATAGCAATACACGGCCTACGTATTACAGTTATTGGGGAAGTATCCCAACAGCATTTTCAGATTCCTGGAGGTGGGTACACATATTATAATATGAAAGATACGTCTTTCGTAGATATTTTTTCTCAATTTGAAGAAGCGTGCACAGTTAGGCGAAAGGTACTAAAGCACTGAACTTTCTTTAATGTATTGCCGAGTAATAATTGTACCAGTAAAACAATGGACTTATGAATTCATCATAGCGAATAAACATTCTTTGGTAGTCAATTAGATTTAAAAATAAGCAAAATACATATAAATGATGTTAATATTTAAAATTTGTCAGGGTAATATATAAAACAGCTACTAATAATAGAAAGCGAACTGTCAAATCAAGCAGCTAAAACCATGTATTTGGCACAGCTAAGCATTTAGACGAGAGATCAATACTAAATATTTTTAATAAAATGTGTTGTTTGAGTTGATAAATGTAAACAAAAAAACGGACCTATGCACAAAATATGTTGCAAAAATAATAATGGTCTTCAGTCAGACATCTTATATTGCTTCGCATTTTGTGCCCTATAAATGTTATTTAAAAGTATTTTTAGACGATTACATTAAAACAATGACCGCCAACAGTTGGGATCGAATCATTCTCTAACATCATTTAGTATGAAACATGTCATTAGCAAAATAGCACAGGAAAACAGATTCGCAAACTGACGAACATAACGTAATCCGCAGGTCACTTGGTAATCACAACTTTATTACATAACCGAATTAGTAAGAAACAATTAATAGTTAATAGACATTATTCGTTTACGATGAATCACTATTTTCAATGGATGTCATCGTTTCATTGCAGAGTACCCTACGGACAGAATTTGTTTTATGGCCAACTTAGTTACGTGGCAATACAAAACCCTGTCAACGTGTACTGTACGTGCAGTCGCAACTATTACTATTATTGGTACAGCGACAGTGTCAATGAACAGTGCGACTATGGCAAAGACATCAGCAGAACATATCTTGCCTTATCCGGGTTATCCTTGGTGGTGGTCGTGCGATTCGTACTGGTGCGATTTAACCTATACATACTATGGAATATCTCGGTACAAAAGAGATGCTTCTGAAGCCGGATCTAACTCAACTGCTAATGATTTCGTGTTCACGTATGACGAAGATTATGTATTCGAGGTAATTCAACTTCTTCCGTTGACTAGATTGTTTTACACACTGGTAGCATAGTGGTTGTCGCTCCAGACTCATGATCGGTATACCCAAGTTCAAATCCTACCTTAGGCTGAACATCAAAGGGTTAACCCCTACCCTGGGTGAGTGTGCCACAGACTCAATGGGAAGGTCAATTCCACTGGCCGAGATTCATTCACTAATAAATGCGACTTTGGGGGAACCTTTGTTTAGGTCCGTAGATGCTTGTGTTCGACCGAGCCTGATTGTCGCCGGGATAGCGCATTAAAATTGCCATTTGACAGAGAGATGGCCACACAGCCCTGTCATGTAGTCCCAAACATGAATATGACTTCTGTGGCAAAATGCACTATGTGTCAGCACTAGCACTTGCAATTTGCACATATAAAAAAAGTCAGGAAAGACAACAGTGACATTCAATGTTCGAAACAATATGTTGGCCACTTTCAGTTGACAGCAGGATTTATCAAGTTTGGGATCTAACTTTTAAACACGAAACACTACTTAAGCACGACTTGCATGACAACACGCACTCGCGATCAATTTGAATGACGTAGGTAACCAAACAGGTTGGTATAATGTATATTTCACAATGTTACAATGATAACAATAATACCGAACAAACAAACACCTAGTACCGTATATGGATGATCTGTATGTACCCCGTTAGTCTCGTCTATTTTAAAATGCTGTTGGCTAAAATAAATTCAATTTAGGATTAGGTACACTTGGGGTCACAGTGCTTGTAGGACCCACGTACACCCGTTTAACGGTAAAACAATAATACTGGGATTATACAGACTCAAGCATATATCTCACGGATTATTAAATACTAATTTTGGAATTGACACCAAAATTAGTATCCATGTTAGCAGCATCATCGATGGCTACTAAAAACATATCTGTAATAACATGGTCATTTTAATCACTTACGATTCCCAGTGTTTTCTTTTGTTTGTGTTGAAAATTTGCCAAATAGAAAATACACAAGAAAGTAAATTCGTGATCACACACACTCGGATTTATTAAACTAGGTTAGTAAATTGTATTTGTTCACAGCTTGTCTCATATTGTAGCTTATCAGATAAATACAATCTTTCCGCAGGAGCCATCGTGGCCGACAGCCAGTGGTATTACAGAGCAACAGGCGAATGAATATTGCGAAACGCAAATCCTGAACTCAACAACTGGTCAACAATGCAGTTCTGTGCTAGACTACAAAGATATCGAAGATACCATTGATGGCTGTGTCACTGACGTACAGGTACGAACATTCAACTCATGATTATGTTAGTCGGGCAAGTCAGTATTCCAACTTCGTCGCAAGACTGTCATATCGCCAGTGTTTTGTTTTGTTGTTTTTGTCAAAAACAACTACTTATCAAATTACGTGGCACATTTCCTAATGCCTAGTGTCGTTATTTAACAACATCGCCATTGTCAACAAATAAAAACATGGGAAAGTTCGTAGCCACCTTAACATAAATTTGTAAATAAAATAGTCCCTGCTTGTATTTGGCTGAATTAACACTTGTAAACACTATATTATAACTTGAATTGTAAAAACTTTGAACTTGGTATGTCCAAGAAATGTTCAACGAAACAACAAAATAAAACCAACATGACCGCCGGTTGGCCATTTTGAATTAAATCAATGAAACATCAACATGTCTGGTGCTAATACCACATTTGAAAAAAATACCTAGGTATACCCGGGAAATGATTGACGATGCCATGTACAATTTCATTGCTTTTATAAACAAGTTCATCCAAACATTAACATCAAACAATGCTGGATGAACTGTTAACGCCATTATGTACCGAATTTACATAAAATTATTATCTCAGAAACAAGAAGATGCAAGAGAAAAATTTCAACTAGTTCAATTTTATCAAAATCCCAATATTAGACAAGAACGTGCATCTTGTGTCTCGCTTTTCTACCAAATTTGAACAAAATTTGTGAACATGTCGGTTATTTTGAACAAAATTGCAAAACAAAATGGCGAGCATCAGTGGCCTATCATGTTTGTTGTGAATATTAAGTTTGAATGAAGTCCGAACAGGCACTGAATGTGTCCTATATAATCTCTTTACTTCATGATGATGTATCTGTTTCGTTATTATTCAGGTTCTGGACGACTTTGTCCAAGGATCCGCGTCTGCGTTATCTTCAATCCAATCACAGTGTATTGAGGTTGCTAGTAGAAACAAGACATTTTGGGACGCGGCCGAAAGCAATAACAGCACAAATGCCACATTTGCACAGCCAGCGACCGTCATTGGGGTATTGTGTCCGGGTGACTGCAACGGCAGGGGAGTGTGTCTTCTTGGTCAGTGCAACTGCACGCTGGGATACGCTGGAAGTGATTGTGCCATCGATCTGAACCAGGCACCGGAAGTATGGTTCCCTTATGAGAGTGGCTTGTGCAATACAGAAGATGGATGTCCTTCCAATGTTCCCATATATGGCAATAATTTTGTGGAATCAGATGATTTGACTTGTCACGTGTTACCGGTGAAGGTAAGAGAGTATTAGTTTATCAATTAACCAATGAATATGGGCGCACGTGTTAGTGAAAAATGAAACATTTTGGCAAAATTAATTATAAATGATTTATCACATCTTTAATGCATAATTGGATCATATTCTTCACATGTGTTATTAAATTTATTTTTGTTACATTCACTTTTATAACTACTATTTTATCGCAGATAACAGAAGAAGGGTTCACTATTCCCGAAAACACCAGCGAGGCGCATGCTGGGACATTTCAGAACTACGGGGAGGTAGAGTGTCCACATCCGGGTACTTTTCGCGAGAAACGCGACATCAATGGTACCGGTTCAAATAAGCCTGCTGATCCTGTAGGAGGCCTTTACTCGGTCAGCAATGATGGGGTTCGTGAGAGTGTCCAGATTCTTGTGATATCATATAATGGCAACTGTGATGTGTGTAACAGTACAGAAGGATCGTGTTATAGAAAGGTGCGTCAATAGTGCCTGTTCCATTGTTAGTGTGGGGTGTGCCGGTGAATGGTGGCTGACAATGAAGTCGGGGGACAAAATACGGCCCAGTATAAAGCTATCAACAGTGCATTCTATACAGAACAGTAACTTAACATATATGAGTTAACAGAAGGGTTCTATACATATTTCATTACAAAAGTATACTATTAATAGAGTAAAAGAATATGTTTTGATTCAAGTGAAGTTCGAACTGGATATGTTTGATAGTTTGGGGTCTTAATCTTCAAACTCCATGTCTGCTTTTCAATTCTTGTGTGAACAATGTGTTCATTTGTCTTTTTTTCTGCCGAAGACGTAGTCATTGTCCGCGCCTGTCAAGTTTCATAGGATACAACTAACTAACTAACTAACTATGATTGGTTGATTCACAGACTGATATCTGCATATTTAATGGAGATTGTCACAACGCCGATAGTGACGTATGTTTGAAAGACATCGCTAAAAGTAAGTATAACCAGCTCAGATTTTCCCTGCTTCTTCGCCACTGTGTGCATTACATGATGTATTGCCGCCACCATTCATGGCGGTGTTCTATCGAGTGTTCATTATTATCTGATAGTATTACGTATTGAGCCCATTTTTTTCTCTAAGTTGAAGCATAAAACATCATTCTGACTTACTGTGTTTGTATCTAGGGAACAACACTGGTGTGATCGTCGGTGCTGTGGTTGGATGTGTGGCTGTCATCGCAATCATCGTCAGTGGCATCGTCCTTTACGTGAAGTAAGTAAAGAATTGCATTCATTAATTCTAGCATTGTATATTATAATTTTCAAGATAAGGACAAGGGACATCTAGACGAATTTTGTGGTTGCTCTCAGAAGAGACATTGTTTGGGTGTTCGTACAAGCCATCCCTGTGAGGCGACTGTGTTGCATGTTGATTGCATACAGAGTTGTAGGAATCTTCCTAACAACTCCATTACTCAGCATGCCAACCCCTAATTCAAATTAGACCCGTTATCACCTTCTTTAATCAACGAGTTTCGAAGGATACTTGTATATCCATTGTTATCCTGACAAGTAGGAGTGAGCGGCGCCCTCTCAGGCCGAACGGCCAACGTGTGTGGAGCACCGCGGAGGGCGCAACTCACGCTACCTTGTCAGGCTAATCAGTTGTGTGCAAGTGTCATAGGATGAGTTAATGATTAACAATTACGAAGACTTCTATGGTCGCTAAAGCATACTATTACTTCGCTTCATTTGTAACAACGTACATATGTATGTATTTTAAGCCCGTAATAATAACCATGCGTGCCTCTTTCCTGGCTTAACTGAACACAGCTCCCTCTGTTTTTTACAAGCTGATGCAGGTTTCAGTTGTCCGTTCATTGCGATAACCGATAGCTTCGCGGAACATATGTGTGATGACGTCGCCATTTATTTACAAACAAGAATTAAAATACTACTTAGTACTAGTATAAACAGTCAAGGGCATTGATGCCACCGGTTGAAACTTATAAAAGTACCTCATAATGCACATGTTCTACTTCATATAAAACAGTCTATCCATTATAGAATGGAAGGGATTTACCCAATCTCAACCAATACAATGTATACCCCCGATGCGGATATATGTGACGATTGTAATACCATGCTTACTAACTAACATGACATTACCTGTGTTCTATTCATAATATAGGAAGATCGTGAAGAAAAGAGTTCACTCTACAATTGAATCTTCTGCCACTCTCACAAGCGGCAAGAGCGGCAAAGCAAGTACCTTAGATGTTGATACAACTACTACTGATAAACAGTCAAGGGCATTGATGCCACCGGTTGAAACTTATAAAAGTACCTCATAATGCACATGTTCTACTTCACGAGAAATGGAATCTATCAATAGTACATCCCCGGCAACATGCCTGGTCTCTCTATCTCGAATTGTGCAATTGCAGTTCAATTTGAAATTCGCGACCTGAAAACATCCGACAATACGGCCTTGCAGGGTGCCATTTGTATCTAAAAGTGCTGAGAACTCGCAAGGGGAACATATTACATAAATACGTGACAGTTGTTTTCCGGTACCGGTTGTCATGGTATTGACATGGTCACGCGTGAATTTCTAAGCAATTAGCTGAAAACGTCCACTGAGGTGTCGTAAATTACCTGGGGGTTGTCAGTCGAACTCCGTCTGTGAATTATAGAGGATAGGTAAATTTAAGATATTTAAATGTATATTCAGAAAATATATTTCCACTTCATATTTAAATTTCCAAATTGTAATACATTTTTCGTTCAGTGTCCACACAGAACCACGCCATTTACGTAATGTTCACATATACAAATTTTGAACGGACTACAATTTCTTTGTGTTCTCCAGTCCTCAAAAAAGACGAATTCAGAAAACTGATTTTCATCGGTTTTGAGTCAACATGTACAAAAGAATACGATTATTAAGTATATATATTAAACTTTTTCAACCAGTTTGAATTCGTAAGGTCAAACAAATGCAATAGGCACAGAAATTTCCTTTTGACGTTATTTTGTGATTAAAGTCATTAGTAGCTGGTCTGGTCCCATGTGAATTTGACAGTATAACTAATTAATTAGCCATTGGTCAGTACAAATCTAGAACTCTTGTGGCACTGTGTGCATTGTGCCCCCCCCCCTGATAGGACCCTCGAATATGTTTCCCTCTACTACTTGTACCAACAAATTTGGCGGAAAATTAATCCAACTTTGTTTGACTGTAATTTGTTCGTTTTAAACGGCCGTACCGTCGGAGATTCATTGAGAGATTTCATTTGCCACACTCCATGTGGCAGTAGAAGAAAATAATATGCAATATCGTCAAAGTGTTTACACGAGCTTTTTCAGTACTTTAAAATACAAGATATAACCCATATTTCAGAATGTTGCCTCACTCTCAATAAAAGTAAATAACGCAGCTGTTTACTCGAAGGTGGAGAGTAAACACAAACTACATCGCCAACCCTTAACACACATGGGACAACGAACGAAGGAAGAACAAATTTCCTATCCCAGGCGAGAGAGCAT